CTATCTTACCAACTTAGAGCGCGTCTACTTGAAGGACCTTGACAATTACGACGGCATCGTGGAGGATATGAAGGAAGAGTTTGAGAAATTCGGTGTCCCGGTGACCATCACAGAGGTGGATGCGGTTATGTGGGAGGCTTCCTGAGAATTAGCTTTCGTTGCCTGCGTGGCGGGCTTGTCTTGGGCCATCCAGGTTATGGGAAATGGACAGCAAGATGGAATGGGAGAACAGCTGCGGCCTCTCGCCGCGCGGTGACTTTATTTATAGAATCAGATCACCCAAAGTTTTCCATGCCCAGAATCCGTACACGCCTGCATCACGTGTGATACCTCTACGAATGTTGCCGTCTATGTGAGCGCCCAATCTAAAAACCTGACTGTGCCATCCGCAACACATATTTAACCCTTCAAAGTGCCTGCATTTGCGAAAGTTTTCGTGGAGGCATTTTGGACCTCTGTTCACACTTCTTTGTGCTAGCGTGGGTCGTTATTGTCATGCCATCATGCCTTTTATCACAGATCAACCACCAGCGCAGGCAGAAACGATGACAGGGCTCTGCGGTCTCCCCATGGAGTTGCTCCTAATGACCTACTCCTTCATTCCAGCGCCTTACGCCGGCAAACGCATTTTGGATGAAATCGCCAGAGCCCAGTCCAACTCCGCCGCAGTCGCCCATGACATTTCAAAACACATTCGACGCGATCGAGCCGGACTCGTGAATCTTGCCCTCACATGCAAGAGGCTCAGCACTCTCCCTCTGGAGTCAACCTGGCGCGAGACCAACTTTGGCTTTTACGCCAAAGACAGTCAAGAGGCCATCTTCCTGATGATTCGTTTTCTCAGGAACGTCAAGAAATACCCCGCGCAGTTCTCGTCGATCCGGAAACTATTCATTTATGTTGATGAAGCGCACGCGACTCTTGCCGAGATTCCTGACGATAGCCGGGACTTCGTCATCCAGGCTTTAGAATCCATTGGTTTCGACTACGACAGAGTTATACCCGGCAACAGTTGGCATTCAGAAGTCAAGTTCAGCGAAGCCATTGAAATGGACGACTCAGAAGCACTCATGGGAACCCTCCTCTTGGCCATCATCCTCCACTTGCCTCGTGTTGACGATATGGCTTTTAATGTCACGCCATACACGTGGAAATACTTACAGGAATTCTACAAAGGCTGTATGAATCGCCGGCTTCTTACTCAGAGCCTGAACTCCAGCAGCGAGGATACCGGCACACGAGACGTCGAGGGTGATGGATCGGATGTAGAGCAGAATGCCTCGGCGCGCGGGCCGACAGGCCACAGGCAGAAGTACGCCCCGCTCAATACAGTGCGTTCATTTTCCTTTCGAAATCCGCAACGGACCGAGATAGACTGGCTCATGTGCAACCGCGCATACGACTGCCTTTTCCCACTTGCCCCGGGAGGCGAAGTCTACTCGCATGGATATGATCGCTCGGAGGTCTGTATTTTCGACGACTGCAAGTCCCTCCGCGGACAATTAACGCCAAACCTAACGTCGATCGTGCTGGTGAAGATGTTGATGGGCCCCAAGGCCCTGCGTCAGACGCTGTCCGACTGCCGGCAGCTTACAAAGTTCATCTACGTGGCACAAGGCGAAGTCGCTCACAATGACCGAGATCTGACGGCTGGCGATGTCATTAAAGCTCTTGAGATACACGCAAAGACCCTGAGAACGATCTGCATAGACTGCCGGAGTCTGAGGAAAGTCCATCCGATCAAGTCGCTAGAAACGTTCACCGCGCTGGAGAACCTGTGGCTGCATGTCGACTCCTTCTTCGAATTCAAACAAGGAGGTGCTTGCGATCCCGAGACGCTCATAGCAAGAAGCTATATGTCGGCCTCAATCGGATCCGTCCCCAGCATGTTTCGGAATATCCAAGAGAAATTGCTAGGACTAGCCGCCAATAATAGCACATTTGCTGGCGGAAATGACAGTCGACTTTCGGATTACGAAATAATACATCCCGCTTTTCACAGTCTACCAGCTTCTTTGAAGAAGTTTCACTTGAGCGGACCGGTGAGATTCCTTCTCTCCGACTTGGTGTCAATGTGGGAGAAACACGCCTCACAACGCCCTACCCAACGCCTGCCCAACGTTCTCGCAATTGATGAAGTTGCGCAGGATTGGCCCACCAAACATTTATTTCAATGTGGCAACATTCATGGACTCAATATAAAATTCGAGATCGATCCTCTTCCACAACTATGGTAGACTAGTCTTGGGTCATTTGGCAGGCAAGTGTTTCGTCGTATGTGGGTGTGGACCTAGAGAGCATGGTTGAGCAATCTTGAACTTGTACAAATTAGATTTCGGTGACATGTATACATATTTCGGTTAAATACACACCATTAACATTGGCAAATGTCTTTTTTATTATTAAATGTCTATTTCATGAACCCAACATGGCACCTTTTACGCTTAAGGTGTATGAACTACCTCTTCGAATACATGTAGCGATCTGAAGTAAATTTCGAGAACGCCGCGAAACCTACCGCAAAGTCTTGGTCATGTGATTAGGCCGCCACATGAGGGTACCAAAGGTGTCACACTTTTCTTTTCTAAAGTTATAGCGCCACCAAATCTTCAAAATAAAACCTAAGAGTGCTTTCTCCAGCCTCTTTGATTCTGCTTCTCTTCGTCCGCTAAAACTGGTTCCTTCCATTTGCAAAATCCCACTCCTAACCACGACCTCAATCTAAACGACCCTTTACCATGGGTTTTATCCAAGACCTTCCCCCTGAGTTGATCCTCCATATCTGTTCCTTTCTTCGAACGGACTATGGAGGGAAAGAACTCGTTGCAGAAGAAATCGATGGCAGAATCAGCATTGCTTGCAGCGCTAAAGACAGTCGGCATACACTCTTCAACCTCTCTGTAACATGCAAGGTGTATCGGAATATGAGTGTTCATGAATTACAAGGCTCGATCGAAGTACACAAGCGGTCAGCTTGGCATATTACGCGCAGATTGGTTTCCTTACTGCGACATGCTCATACTGGCGCACTAAACCCAAAATCAGTTCAACAGCTCTATATCGGGTTTTGGGATGTCTGCTATCAACAAAAAGTATCAGTGGACGATGTTGCAGCAATGGATAGTGTGGCGTCGTCGATGGGTCTCGAGGCCTTCCGGGCGCCAACGTCGAACAGCTTCTATGACCCGCAGAGCGGGACGTGGTGCAGAGCCCTCTCTAGAAAAGGCTTCGTACGATTCTTCGCGCATCTCATCGGCATCATGCTTTTGAAATTCAAGAGTGTGAAACACTTGGCACTATCACTTCCGACGCGTGTACTTCAAGGAATCACGGAATTTGCCTCACGGGTCATTCGTAAGCCGCAACAGGACGGAAAAGGAAACAGGATTCGCGAGTTTTTAACCCTTCGATCTCTGGCCATAGGGCGAGACTCCTGGGATGCGGCTAAGACGGGCTCGGTCGCGCTGATTGACCCTGGATTCGGGGCTCTCTTTTCTTGGAATGCTGGGGCGGAGATTTTCATACATGGCTTCGAGGTAGGAGATGCTCTCGCAGACATCGCACCAAACCTAGGCTCGATCGTACTGAGCGGCTGCTCCATCTCAAAATCGCAACTTCATCACGTTTTGAGCAGATGTCAGGCATTGGAAAAGTTCACGTTCATCTACAGCGGCATGGGTGCATCAGTTTTGTCTGCGATACCTAGTCCTGGGGATACGATTGGCATGCTTAAAAAGCACACTGCCACTCTGAAGACATTATGCCTCGATTTCCCCAGCTTAATTTACCGGAGAGATCATAGCCCCCTGCGCTGTTTGGGGGTGTTTACGGCATTGAGGAGGCTGAGTCTTTCGGCAAGCACACTACGGTGGATCTTTACCGATGCTCTCTGGGACGACAATATTCACAAAGAGGTCGGGAGAGAAGCAGGATTGGATGCAAATATAACGTACATCTCTTTCTTGAGGACTATCCCACCGTTGTTAAAGGTCTTCCATGTCGCCGGTGTGACTTCCAAAAAGTCCACCTACTCGATCCCTGAAGAGAAGAGGATCGCTGCCTTTGAGGGAGTTGGGAATGATGCGGCATGTGTTCAATATTCTGATTCAAAATTCACAGGTTTGATATGGAACCATGAAATGTTGAGGAGAAGGGGAGTTTTGCTATGCGTTAGTTCTAGTCAAACCCCTGCTTTTTTGTAGCCGCAAGCAGTAAATTTACTAGAAACTCCGCACCCTAGGTATCGCAGTCAAGTTCAATAACACCATTCTACGACGTTCATCATATAGGTTACTGAGTACAATCGCGTTCATATGACAGCTGGAAGTAACGAGGTCGAGGTGGTGCAACAGAACGTGGAAGGCTCATGGCGTAAATTCTGAGATCGCCGCTTTCATTTCCCAAAGAAATAGGTTTTTCTCGGAGACTCGTGAAATCAAAAGTCAGAAAGAACTTCAAAAGCAGGCAAGCCTCCTGGAAACATAGGTACCAACATTCTGATCTTGCCCGATTGTACTTTCCTATTTCGTTGCCTGCTTCATCATTCGCGCCTTCCCCGCGAGATTCGCGTAGTCGACTTTTCACTCTCCACAATCGCACACTCACCTTCGGGCACCTACCGACGACGCTTTCCTATCCCGCCACCCAGTCCAAAATAACAACACGCGCAGCCTACCTTATCAATCGAGGAAGCAGACTTCACGTCGTCTCCAGGAATCGAAGTACGACTGCTCCCGAGCCTGACAATCCTGCGTGCTAGGAGGGCATTTGCTAGCCGGGCAGCGCCATTTGGCTTTTCCGGCGGTGTCCATCGTCATCGTCATCAGCCTCCGTCGTCGTCTTTCTTCGTACATGTAATTCAGCGTCTCTATCTTTATCGCCACCCGTATCGTCTCTCTGCTAACTTTCTCCTAGCCGTGCGACTCGCCAGAATCGACCTCGCTTCCCCCATTTGCGTCCCTGTTAACTGGACCTTGCTCGCCAGCGGTCGGCAATCCAAGATGGCGAAGCTGACTGACCTTCCTCCCGAGATAATTCGCATATTTATCAAGATTCTTCGACCTCGATTTGATGGCAAGCTGTTAGTCGCGACAGGCCATGAGAAAGCATCGGCAGGAGATTACTACGACACTACATTCGCCGTCAGCGACCTTCTTCACGAAAACAGTCAGAAGCGCCACGCTTTAGCGAGCTTTGCCCTTTCTCATAGGGCGTTTGGTCGAGCTTCAGTTGAGCAGATCCATAGCATTGCCGGAATTCACAATCTTCCCGAGAGCACAGGGTTGAAGAGGATGACATCCCTTCTCCAACTCATCGACCGCAACAACACTGTGCGCACTTCTATCCGACATCTCTACATCCACACAGAATATCCAACTTCGAGAAGGGATGTCATGGATTTTAATGAAGAGGAGGTGGCTACGCTGCTGCAACCATTCGCGCCCGCGGGCCTTAACCTGCCTTGCCATGATTCAAGCGCTTTTGACCCGCTGCGCACTTACCTCGGTTACTGTGTTGCCTTCATTCTTATTCGCCTTCCAAGTCTCCAGGAGCTCAAACTTAGTGTGTCGCTATCAACGCTGCGAATGCTGATCCGGGTTCTCTCGATCGCTCGAACTCACCAACATCCCTATTGAACCATACCGTTGTTTGTTCCTGCTCTTCGAGCTCTTACTATCAGCAATATACGGTGGGAGTATCATGGAGAGCCGGAATTCTCCCAATGGATGAGACCCGGTTCTGAAAGATGCTTCCACAAGTCCGTCTGCCGCAAGCAGTTGAACATTTCTACAGTCACTTCTTTGGTGCTCGACGAAGTTCGCATGCATGTAACTCTCCTGGCAAAGACGCTCCGCAGCTGCTTAGCCCTGAGGAAGCTTGTATGCGTTCGATTCGCAGCTCAGATAATGTCGTCCTCGGATCTCGATGCATTCATGGATGCCATACGGGACCAATACAAGAGTTTGGACACCCTTGGTCTTGACCTAACCACCTGTCACTACGTGCAAGACCAGCGTGTATCTGATCGCATTGCGACGCTTGGCGACTTGCCCAATCTGGAGCAGCTATGGATCACTACATGCAGCTTCGCCGATGACGAGGAAGATAACATCGATAACAGTGAGAGTCAGGGCCACAACAGTAATGAGAGCGACACAGATGGCAGTAACTTGGCAGAACATGAGGTCTTCGAGACCTTTCTCCCAAGTCTTCCTGAGTCGTTGAAGCGTTTGCACCTGGGTGGGGGAGTGCGCCCGATCTGACAAAGTCTGCTGGATATGGCCCAACGCATCAAGATGGGAGGTCTGAGAAATCTGCGGGAGATTGGTCTGAGCAGGGGACAGTGGGACGATGAGCTTGAGGAGGCGTTCGCGGACTACGTCCCGGTGCGAACGACAGTTGACCCACGCCCTGCCATGTGGTAGGTACGATCTTGCTGAATTTGCCTGGTCCGAGGACGGAAAGGCAGGAGAAGACGGAGACAAGTAGGCCTTGACAAGCGGATACATACGACAACCAGAGATTGACGTCCGTCGGTTAGGCCAGTAGTAGTAGAGAATAAGATAGGGATAGCGATAATGATGATAATATTAGACGACAACGATAGATGATGATCACGATGGATAGTGACCACGATGGACGATGACGATAGACGGCGATAGACGACGGCGGCGACAGATACAACAACAATGATAGACGATGAGACGACAGGAAAAGAAAGGGGGTCGCGCACAGTCGGACATACTGATTACAAGCGTTCATGACAGACACTGCCCAGCTAGCAAAAGTCATGGTTGGATGAGGACAGTGTTTTGAGGTGAGAGAATTGAGGCAGATGAGGATTGTTACTGTGTCATAGACAATGAGTACCATCGCTCTTTATGGTCGGTCCTTTGGTGTCACCGGGCCTGCGTCGGTGGATGCCTATTGATCTTGAACACTTTTCTTCCTTTGTGGCCATGCGGCAGCTTTCTTCGACCGCACAATACGAGAAGCAAGAAGGAAGCCACGTTCAGGTACTGGAGCCTTCCTTCCTTTCTCAGATTGAAGTGCGACACCTCCCACATGACCTTAGCACAGCGCAATTTCTTCACCTTCCTTCTCAACACAACTTTCACGCTGGGGCTGATTTTCGCAAATTACCAGGCTGTCGGACTCAAAGAGTACAGCGACGACAACGTCTAAGACACCCGAAGATATTGAGAAAGTGGTCGCCCTCAAGATAGCCGGTTTCCAGCTTTTCCTCGACATTTCTCAAGCTGTCGATCGCCAAAGCGCACACGGCGAAGATTGGTCTCTGCCAGCAACGGCCACATCGTCTGCAACTTACCCTTTTCGTCAGTACCCAGTCTCCCTCTCCGTTGGTGTTCTCGTCTAACCAAGGTATTTAGGGATATGTACCTGTTATTTATTGCTCGGCCTCTCAACCGCCGACTCGATCCTGCAACCTTCACAAGCACCGCCTAATCGTCATCGACGCTCTCATGGCGAAGCTTTCAGACCTTCCGCTAGAGCTGGTTCGCCACATAGCGTCTTTTCTTTGCCCTGACTGGCCCGGCGCACTGCTTTTGGATCACGATGAGGGCTGGGAATGGGTCCACGACATTCGAAAATTACACAACGCCAACCGAGCATCTCTACTCAACTTCTCGTACACTTCGAAAGCCCACCACCTTGGCCTTGCGCCCGAGCTAGTGCGTTCGCTTGGGGTCCCTGACCGAACTGGCGGAAATGAGCTTCGAATACTGTTAAAGTTGCTTCGCTACTTGCTGCACAATCCGGCGTCATCGCCTGGTGCCGTTCGGAAACTATTCATTGACCTTCACTCTGACAAACATACGGGAAGATCTTCCGGCTTGGACCATGTCTGTCAACGCGATATGGATCTTCTCAAGGAAGCAGCCCTCTGCTTTGGCATCAATATCTGGACGGAAACGCTCGCTTGGAACGACGATATGGTAGGCTGGAGCATCGGAGAAGTCTTGATCCATGTACCATATTCCCTGAAGGGGTTTCTGGTCGGTCTGATCATCCTCAACCTCCCAAACATCCGAGACCTAAGCATCATACTTCCGCCAGCGTCGCACATGGCTGTGACCGAGCTGCTGCGTCTTGTTCAGAAACTGAGGGTAGTCGACAACGATACGCAACCGATCCTTCACCTCGAAAGTATTGCGGTCAGGAACTGGAACTTTGACGGCGTTCAACCCAGCGGTTTCGAAACACTATTTTCTTTCAGACCCCATGCATCAATATACTTCGGCAACTGCATTCTATACCCGCCTCCGACATGGGCCCCGAACATCACGTCGCTGGTATTCCGAGATGTCAAGGGCATTATGCTGTCGACCGTCTGCAAACTCATCAACGACTCCCTGCGTCTGACGAAATTTATCTACATCCAGAAGATTGACAACGAAAACTGTCCTGTGCTCAGCCCTGGTTCAATGTTCCAGGCGCTGAAGAAGCACGGCTCAAGCCTGAAAACCCTCTGCCTGGGGTTTTCCTTGCCGTACGAATCATTCCTCGACCAGATTCCTCCGCCCTACATCGACTCCTTCGAGGATTTCACGGTTCTTGAGCAGATGTGGATCAACTGCTCCTGCTTTGGGGACCGCTATGATGTTGGTAGCAAAGTCCTTCGAACGATTCCAACCTCCTTGTGGAGGCTTCATTTTGCTGGCAGCGTCGAAATCATCGAGGATGACTTGTTGCGCTGGGCTGTGATACTTTCGGGGAAACGCTTTGATGAAGAGGATGACGAGGGAGATGACGTGGGAGATGACGAGGGAGATGACGAGGGATACGATGAGGAAGACGACGAGGAAGACAATGACGCAGGCGATGGGGAAGACGACGAGGAAGACATGGGGGAAGGCCTGGAGGAAGACGACAATGACAACGACTATGTCCATATCCCAGAGCATCTGGCTTGGGATATCGGCTTGGACAACTTTGACCATGAGGTTCATGAAGCTTTTCGGGACAGCAAACGGGTTGACTTCTTTGAGGCACCTTCCCCTTTGCCTGGTATCTTTTAGCTAAACAATCACACGTGTAAGGTCGCATACAAATATCAGACCGCGGGCAGTGTTTCTCTTGCTGGGTTTTGCTTCAGACCGGGAAATGGAGTTGTCTTATTACCTGCTTGAATTGAATACCAGAACTTTCCTTTGCACATGTCACACTCTTTGCGACCGATAACAAAGGTGACTTGGAGAGTTTTGATTGCTTCAACCCCACGACCCAAAAAGGCAGGAAGGAGCCCACACCTACCCGCTGGAGCCTTCCTTCCTGCCGTCGAATCTCAACGTCAAGTATATCACGTGACCTGGAACTGCTGCGTTTGCGCAACTCACCTCGACAGTTGACTTTCACGTCCACGTTGATCTTCTCAAATCACCCCTCGGATTCCAGCTTCGCTCTTCAATCGCACAGCGACGACGACGGCGGCAGCAATCAGAAAGCACACCCACAAACCCAGGTCGCCGCGCACAAATAAGCGGTTTCCTCAGACTTCTTTCACTTCTACCACTTCACGAGCTGCCGATTCTCGAGGCACGAACAGCGCGGATCGATTTCTGCCCACAACCGCGACAGTAGACGCGAATAACCTTCTCGTTGGTGGTATCCCTTTCTCTTCTCTGCCATCGTTCTCGTCTAACAATTTCCAGACACCCGCCGACTTCCGCTCGAGTATCGACCGCCGACGCAATCCCCTGATAGCAACATGGCGAGACTGTCCGAACTCCCACCAGAGATGATCCGACACATCGGTTCTTTTCTTTGCCCAGACTAGTCCGGCGAAATGGTCTTGGATCATGCAGACCTGGGTTGGGACTGTGTTTGGGATATATATGATGCCCATAAAGACAACCGGGAGTCTCTCTTCAATTTTGCCTTTACTTCGAAGGGCTACTACCAACTTCTTGTCCCGGAGCTGTTGCCATCAGTCGGAGTTATTAGTCGAAGTGGCGATACAGAAGTGCGACAATTGTTCAAGCTTTTGCGACTCTGATTCCACAACCCGGCAGCGTCATGCGGTGCTGTACGAAAGCTTTTCATCTTTCTGCATTCAGAAGATCACCCCGGGGAGCCTTTCGACCTGAGCAATCCTAGTCACCAGCGTGAGGTGCAGCTTCTCGAGGAAGTAGCAGGACGTGTGGGCATTGATATCTGGAAGGAGACATTTTCATGGAATAGCTTTGAGGCAGGCCACATCATTGGAAGCATTCTGACAACCAAAGCTGATTTCCTGCCTCACTTTCTCAAGGGGTTTATGATTGGAATTCTCATTCTCCACCTCTCAAACATCCGAGACCTCACGATCTTACTCCCATCAACATCCCTAAAGGCAATGGTCAACGTTCTACGCCGGGCGCAACAGTACATCGCAAACAGCAACAAACGGCTTCCGTTTCTTCATCTCCAACACTTCGCAATCACCCATACACGAGAATATGAAGGCCAGCGACCGGACGGATTTCAGACACTATTCTCATTCAGGCCAAAATCAACTGCGTATCTCCGCGACTGCCAACTGAGAGCCCCTCTGGCGTGGTCGACGAATATTACGTCCCTGGCGTTGAGGGAGATCAGGTACATTACGCCGTCGATACCCGAACAGCTCATCATGAACTGCGAACGTCTGACCAGATTCGTCTACACTCACGACGTCTGGATCTGCCCGGAGTTTCCCAGCCCAGGAACAATCCTTCGGACATTGAAGAAGCATGCTTCAAGTCTTAAAGTGCTCTGCCTGAACTTTATTTGGATTGACGAGCAAGCCAACGAACTTTCCCCACCTTACATCGATTCCTTCGAAGATTTCACGTGCCTCGGAGCTCTTTGGATCAGCTGTGCTTGCTTTGGCGAGGACTCGCAAAACAGCGTCCTTCGGACGATCCCGCCCTCTTTGTACATACTACACATGGCCGGCGACGCCAGTGTCGTTGCGGACGACTTGGAGTGGTGGGCCAACATACTGACCGGCAAGGATTTGGATGGAGAGGACACCAGTTCAGGAGGCGGGAGTGTTTCTTCAGGCGACGAAAGTGAACCAATTTACCCCCAAGAAGAAGAAGACGAAAGTGACTCCTGTGACCAAGCTCAAGATGGAGTGGAAATGGAAGAGGATTCTTTGGAACTGGTAGAAGACGACACGAGCGAGGGCGACGTTGGCGAGGATGTAGAGACCGAAGAGACCGAAGATGAAGAGACCGACGAAAATAGCGATGATGAAGAGGACGAGTACGACATAGATAACTACAGCATGGAGGAGTACAATGGCGACGACTATAGTGAGTACGACTGCGACGAGCACGAGTTTGAAGAGGACGAGTATGGACAGGACAAGAACGATTTGGAAAAGAACGAGGAGATCTTGTGTGAGGAGGAGTTGTGGGAGTAGAATGACGTTACAGAAGATGAGTACGAGTGCGGAGTGGGCGAGTACGGGGAACATGAGTACAACGAGGACGAGTGCGAAGAAAAGCGTGAAGACGAGCCGGACGAGGACGAGCAGCAGGCGAACCAGCAGGAAGAGAACCATCGGGACGACAAGCAGGACGAGAACCTGAACGACAATCTGGACGAGAACAATATTCAAAAAGATGAGGGGAACGAAGAGAACAAGGGTGAAGACGAGGAGAGCGAAAGTGAAGACGATGAGGAAAACGAGAGTGAAGACAACGAGGAGAGCGAAACTGAAGACGACGAGCATGAGGATCGTTATCTTGGCATCAACATCCCGCGAGAGCTGGCTTACGACAGTACAGAGACTTTCGCGGTCCCAGTTGCCGTGAGCGAAGTGTTTCAAAACAGCGATTATGTTGATTTCCGGGATTGGGTGGATGCGGCGCCCGGTTTTTGGTACATTTTTTGAAAAGGGGAAGACGGAGGGAAAGGGATAGACACTGTATAGGAGGAATGATTGATTGTGGATGTCGGCCGGGTGTCGTGATATTTGATATTTTGAGGTGGTATATGTTGCCCTCGTCACACCGTATGGCAGATGTGACGACAGATGTGATTGCACACCTGTTAGAAGTCACAGACGACGGTTGAGAAGTAAAGGCTTCACAAGCATCGAAGGCGCCATGTGAAATCCAATACGTATGTCATGTTGATGGTGTCTCGTCTACCTACTTCTACAGTTATTGCTCGTTGTTACTCATGTCTCGGTGGTTTTGACGTGGACACTGGTCGTCTGATGTTGAAGATCCAGTTTAGTCAGAGCGCCAACGTGTCCAACGGCGACAACCTGACTCAGACACCGCAAAGGTCTTCAACCACTATTCAATTGGGTTCTTCAGGGCGATTTCAGCATCTCCTCAGCCACCACAAGTGAGGTTGAAAATACGATGTTGCACTGCGCACCTTAAACATGTGATGTTGCATCCCGTCTGCTGCGGCCGCCAAGAGGACCCTTTTTTTTTTTTTTTTTTTTTGGCCAACCTTCGGGCAGAAACCGACATTGAAACCACAACATTGGCAATAAGCCTATTTTTACAATCCTTGCGTCATATCCTGATAAGAAAGAACAGAGAAGAAGCCAGAACTCCACAGACCGGGGCCCTTAGATAATCACTAGACCGCCTCTTGTCCCAGTTTTAAAAATTCTAGCTTCCTCAAGGGTTCCCACAGAGCCGCCACTGGGGGACCCGATTTAAATCCAAGGTGAACACTGTGAAGCAGGGCGGGCACCATCTTTGAAAGCACACACCACTTGTGTATCCATCGACGGGTAGCACACACCACCCACACACCTGCGGCCTCGTGGACACGGGGAGCGACCTTGGGGACCCTCCTCCGCCACCTTGATCCCCGACACTAACAATGGGGAAGTTGAATTGCGGATCCATCAAAGGTGCTTGATTTTTTTTTTGCTCAACAACCTGGCTGGAACGGGAACGTGCTTTTCGCCCTCCAGGAGGTCAGGCCCAGGCCTCCGTAAAACTCGGTGCCCGAACTTATTCCGGATTGTGACCTGCCTGGTTTAAAAGGGCTGACCTCAGGGGTAACCGGCGGTGAGCTGTGGTATTCTGTTTCTCATTCATTCAACAACGCCGTCCTCCTCCTCCTGCTGCGACTCACGATAACGCCTCTGCGTCCTCATCCGTCTTAATTTTTCATCCTCTCCGTCCGCAGGACTACCCGTGATCTCATTTCTTTATCATCTTTTGTTCATCTAGCGAAGACAAGTCCCCAAAAAGTCCCTTAGAATGCCTCACAGCACGGAGTCCCTCAAGCTCACCAGCGACAACTTGTCCACGTTCGCTTCGCAGCAGGGTGAGAGGAGCGTCAAGACGCCGACCTACGCCCGCGATGGCGTGAAGCACGGCATCGTCCACGTCGGCGTCGGCGGCTTCCACCGCGCCCACCTCGCCGTCTACGTCGACCAGCTCATGCAGAAACACGACCTGCGCGATTGGGCCATCTGCGGCGTCGGCCTGCGCCCCAACGACGCCGCCATGCGCGACGTCCTCGAGGCCCAGGACCACCTCTACACCGTCATCGAGCGCTCCGCAAAGGGCAGCTTCGCCAACGTCGTCGGCAGCATCACGGGTTTTCTGTATGCCCCCGACGACCGCGAGGCCGTGATTGCCAAGATGGCCAGCCCGGACACCCACATCGTGTCCCTGACGATCACGGAGAGCGGGTACTACTACAACGAGAACACGCACGAGATGCACGCCGACCACCCGGACATCGTGCACGATCTCGCTAACGGCGACGCCCCCGTGAGCACGTTCGGCTTCCTGTACGCCGCGCTGGCGAGGCGCCACGCCGCGGGGTTGAAGCCCTTCACCGTGATGAGCTGCGACAACATGCAGAAGAACGGCAGCATCACGCGGCACATGCTGCAGTCGTTCGCGCGGCTGCGCGGGGACGCGGCGGTGGCGGAGTGGATCGCGGCGGAGGGCGCGTTCCCGAACGCGATGGTGGACCGCATCACGCCGAGCACGTCGCCGGCGGATATCGCCTCGCTGGCGGCCAAGTTTGGCGTCGAGGACGCGTGGCCGGTCGTCACGGAGCCGTT